ATGTCAGCTATTTTATGTCGTTCTCTGACTACATAATGATAATAGTAGTTATTCTGACTTTACAGTTAAATGTTAATTGAAAATGAAAATTCAAAAATTAAGCCAAGGGAATATCTTGGACATCCGTGAAAAAGAGAGTGCCTGAGAGTTTTGGCAACACTGATCTCCATAAGCGTAATGTTATTTTCTTAACGTGAAACAAAGAATAGTAACCGTTAGACGTGATAACTGGACTTCTTTGATGGCAGACATATCTGTTTTACTTTTGAAGTCCTCAAATAATACATTCGCAGCCTCAATGAATGCTTTCTTCACTACCTCTCCATTATCAAATGGTTTTTTATGTTGTGCCAATATATAAGAAATTTAGAACGACCCAATTGTTGGAGCTACTGATTGTTTAACAGGCCTAGTGAACATTGATTGTTCCGTCTTCAAACTACTTTTTAAGTCTTGCTCTTTCCGTTTTCTAAACAAACTGTTTTGCGGAAAATCATTTCCATAGTTTTTATGTAAAGTTTTATAATGCCGTTTTAAATTTCCTCGTTTGGGCAGAGCAACGGAAGATCTACAAACAAGACAAATTCACTTATCTTTCACCATAGCAAACAGGAAGTTTGCAAGTGGCAACAGTGTTTTGGCGTTGGCAGAAAATTATTAAATCTGCGTCGAGTGCAAACTTGACTGGAAGCTCAATGTGTTTATACATATCGTTTAAAACAAGTATAAAGAGTGTAGGACTCAATACCGACCCTTAGTGAACGCCACTAGTTTGTTTTGCCATTTTCTCTTATGTTAAAAGTTCTATTTGTTAGAAATTGATTAATAAATGAAGATATATTTTCAGATTACTGTACTCCTCGAGTTTAGCTAAAATAAGAGGTATATACGGAGTATCGATTGCTTTTCCCATTCAAACAGCTATTACGTCTTGTTTTGTACTGGAAGGCGTTGATGATTAATGGTTGGAGGACTGCTAGATTATTTGCTGTACTTCGATGTGATCTAAAACCTGATTGTGCCAAATTTATTATTTTATATTTTTCTAGGTACCTCAGGAGGTTTTTATTGATAATTTTCTCCATAAGTTTGCACATTGTACATGTGAGAAAAACTGATCTGTAGGAATTTGGATCAGTTGAAGGTTTGCCTTGTTTTTAACAGAAATAATTATGGATTTTTATGAGTCTCCATAAGAGGTAGGAGTATGTACATTTCCTCATGACACCCTGTATACTAGCATTGGTCTGCCATTGTGGAACTCATTTTAGTTGACTCTCATTCGTCCCTTCCTGGAAAGCCGAGGATAAACGACTTTTCGAAATTATATTTAGGTTGCATTACATTTGGTACCATTTCCAACTCTGGATGCTGTTTTATTATCTCTCCAGATTTGATTCCGGTATACTTTCGCCCTGATTTCTGGCGTCTTATCGGCGTGCTGTATGCTCCTACCTTTTTTAATTTAATATTCCTTGTTCTACCCTTTTGTCTCTTGACATATAGAAATGGCCATAGTATCCCAGGTTTGCCAGTCACGATTCTTCTTACTAGTTTTAGCAATTCTTTTTTTTTAGAGTAAACTATAAAGAGTGGGATAACTAAAATAAAACATTTCTGTCTACTAAAGTTATATTTATTCTTTCAGATAATCAGTAACATCAACATTTTGTAAATATATAGATACTTCTGAACAACTATTTTTTTCTACTTATTTTGATTCAAGTTTCACAATTATTTAAATTCGCTAATTAAAAATTAACTATCTAAAACTGAAAACAAGACAAATTTTACTGGCGTGTATTTTAAGTAAATTCAATAAAATGATATGCATTATTATAGATTCTCAAAATAAAAGTGAGTTGGGGAAGTATATAATAATTTTCTTAGTAAATTATGGATACAGAAAAAAGTAAAGTCTTTATTTAAGCAAATGAAAAAAACCATTTTTTTAAGCCGTAATAGAATCGCTTCTTTACGATCCTGTAGCACCAATTTAAAGCCTTATACTCCCGAATGTAAAAGTGTTTTCTGTATAAACGCTTTTTTAATCTGAAATTAGAATTGATATTTTCTGTTGGTTGGGCCTCGTTCGTACGAATAATTTATTAGTTCCGTTAAAAATAGTTGAAATTAAACAAATGGTTCAACATTCGAAACAAATTCGAGAATTTATTCACACGTCAGCGCTTTTGAACACTTAGCTTTTACATAAAGTTGTTTTGACCTCATTTTATCGCATTTCTGCACTGACTATGCTTTAATCTGCCGAATACCCTTACGGTGTTCGGTTGAGATTGTATTTATAGATCCAGGAATTTTGATTCTAGCTTTGCTGTATTTATAATTATTGCCAGAATATGCGAATAAATAGTATGTGATATTAGAATAATTGTAAAAAATGTGCCATTTGTAAACTGCCACAAACTCTCCTTTTAAATACGCTCGTTATTCATTGGATGCATCCAGAATATCTTCTTTTTTCGCTTTCTTGTAGTATATATTGCTTTTTCTAGAAATTGGATGGAGTTTATTTTACGACAGTCTGACGAGAAATTAATTCATCGCTAATCATGATGAAATTTTGTCACACAGGTCTTACAAGTACTATTTTAGCAGCATTTACTTTGAATGATGCATCGATGCTCTATTGAATTAATGCCGAGCGTGCAATCGTTTCGTCGGTGGGAGGAGTCCATTGACTCAAGGCTGACGCAGCCGGCTGCAGTAATTGGTGCTTGCTGTATCAACAAACATACATCAGAAAGGTTTTAATAAGAGTCAACGTAAAATTTTTATGCAAAGGTGTGAGAAAAACCTTAGGGAGAGCGCCCACCAAACTGGCATGGCAAGTAGCGTGCGTCTAGCATGTTACTTAAAATGTAACCAATGCAAACGAATGATTCAGCGCACACCAAAATGACAGTGACAGTGGAGTCACTGTCACTGTTAAAAATAGAGCTTGTTCTTCTTTTTGCCACGTGCTACTTGCATTTTGCATGTGTATTTGTTATAAAATTTAAATATGGAAGACAGTCCAGAATTTAATATTCGTTTTGTCTCATTAATTGAGAAATTTCCAGGTATCTATGACAACACCTAGATATATCTAGGTCATGTTATCAAACTAGGAAAACCAAATCAAGATGCTGAAATTAAAAGAAGAACACAACTGGCTTGGGGCGCTTTCGGCAAACTAGCACATATCTTGAAAAACACCTCCATTCCTATAAACTTAAAGAAAAAAGTGTATAACACATGCATACTACCTGTTTGTACCTACGGCTTGGAGACAGTAGCACTTACCAAAAAATCTGCCAAAAAATTAGAAACAACGCAAAGAGCAATGGAACGAATCATGCTTGGAATATCACTAAGAGACAAGATTAGAAACACCGAGATACGACGTAGAACGAAGATTAGGGATATTGTGGAAGAAATTACAAAAATGAAATGGCGCTGGGCAGGTCACGTAGCCCGATATAATGACAACAGGTGGACACGGAGAATTATAGAATGGAGACCAAGGACGACAACAAGAAGCATGGGAAGACCTCAAAAAAGATGGGTAGATGACATAAGAGCGGTGGCAGGCAAACAGTGGATTAGATTGGCGCAAGATAGAGAAAGATGGAAGCAATTGGGAGAGACCTACATTCAGGAGTGGATGGAAAATGGTTGACAAAGAAGAAGATGACAACACAAGTCGGGAATTTTTTAATTCTTTAAATATATTGCCCTTGCATCTCTTTCCAATAAGGGTGTACCCAAAACTGACGTTGCGGACGAGTTTTGTTCATATTGTTGACGTTTAAAAGCGTTAGCATAACTTCATCCTCAGAGGGCGATATTTTGAATTTAACTAGCCTTTTTAATGTCATGCTTTATGTCATACATTAGTGTGCGCTACCTGCCATGCTAGTGCCGTGGCCGTGCTATGTCACGCCAGTTTGGTGGGTACTCTCGCTTACGCTTAAGAAAAGTATATTGATAGCGACGTAGCTTATTGATAATGTGCCCATACACCTGTGAACAAATTGGCGTAACAGCAGCTGTTTTACAAAAAATTGTTACAGTTACATAGTGTATGGATGACCAGTTTGTTGTGCAATATAAATTTGCTTAATTTCATCACAGGCGTATAGGGCCTATGAAAGTATTCATGAATTATTTAAAAATTTTACTTGTACTACGAGGTATTATTCCTTAAAAGGTCAGGGATACAAATGAAATAAGTAAATGCAATATAAAGTAAATATTAGAGAGAAAAAATAACAACTGAACATAAGTTTGTAAAACTAAATCGGAGTTGGATAATAGTAACATCATTATATTATTTTATAATAATTGATATGTTTTCTTCTGTTTTCCCTAACACTAAATGTACAGTAAAAGGTGTTACCAATGCTAACACCAGATAACAAAACGGGGAAGACTTGAGAGAAATATAAAATAAAATTTAAATGTGATTTTGAGCAACAGTTAGTTTATATTGGATATAACGTTATATTGTTATATTCTTATTTTGTTATTAGATTAATATGAGTGATTGATATTCGATTGTACTAAGGATTTTTACAGGGTACCTCAAAATTAACGCTGATAGTTATGGGATTTTTTTCCTGACAAATCAAAAGTTACGAGTGAAAAATTGTCTGACTTTAACTTCTTATTGAGTTACTGTAAGCCGTTACTAAAGATACTGCAAAAAACGAGGTACAGGTGACACAAATTTCCTGGGCGTGCAATATACGAGGGCGGTACGATAAATATTTAGCCTCACCTTCCGATGGCGATAATATCACAAGAGAAATTTACTACCATGAATCGGGCTTGTAATTTTGTTTTGAACGCGTGTGGAAGCGGGCGTAGTCGGCTGATTTTAGAAAAATGGTAAACGTAGCATATCCATCGATGGCAGTCCGCCAAAAATTGGTTTAATGAGTTTCATCGTGGTCACACATCGGTTTTTGATGAGCCACATGACGTCCTTGAACGGTACTTACCGTTTGTATTGAAGGTGCGCGACATAGCTGAGACAGTAGGCATCTCAACAGACTGCGTAAGTCATATCTTGCATGACATTTTGGACATGAGACAGCGTTTGCTCACTCCAGACAACAACCGCAACCGTGAGACCACTTCAGAACAGTGTTTGACACTGTCTAAGCGCAATCCGAAGGAGTTTCTGCGTTTTTTGTGACCATAGTCGAAACATGGATCCACTGGTACACACGAGATACCAAGAAACAGTGGACTACACTCGGAGAACGTGCTCCGAAGAAGGCAAAGACTTTCCTAGCGGTCAGAAAGGTGATGGCCACCATTTACTGAAATTCAGAAGGTGTGCAAATCAGAAAAAACGGCCATGTGTGGAGAAGAAAAAAGTGCTTTTCGAACAATGTACCGGCTCACACATCCGCTGTCGAAATGGTCAAATTGGTAAATTGGCGCTACGAACTGCTGCCCCATCCGTCATGTAACTGCTGCCTCATCCATCATGTTCTCCCGATTTGGCCCCATGCCACTTGATTTTGTTTCTCCAAACTTAAAAAACTTGCTCGTCGGTCTCAAATTTGAGTCGAATGAGGAGGTCATCGCCGCCACTGAGATCTAATTTGTAGACCTCGAGAAAACGTATTTTTCAGACGGCTTAAAAAAGTTGGAGCATCATAGGTCAAGTATATTGAGCAAAATGAGGTTCTGTTTTGTTCTGTTTTCTTTTGCAGGCTAAGTACTTGTTAAACCGCCCTCGTATTAATAGTATCACACAAGTTTACTGCGAATTATAGTGTAAAATTTTAATTATGATATACGGTACTGAATTTTGTCTACTTAAAAAAAGAACAATCGAACAATAACAAAAAAAGGATGCATTTAATTAATAATATATTTGGGGAAAATCTAGGTGTGGCAATGATCAATATCAAAATCAGCGAGCATGGGTTAGTTAAGAGGGTTATAGCACGTGCAATATCAATATGGTAATTATACCATATAAAGTACAGCTAAGTGTCAAGTTCCTGCAAAGATAAGACTGTTAAACCAATAAAGATATAGTTGGAGGCGGTTAGAGAAAACGAGGGATCAGAAATATCTCAAGAAATGTAATCAGAAGAACCAACCGTATAGAAGTACGAGCAAAGAAAATTATTATGAACCCCGAAATGAGCTGAATATATTTTATTGTAATTGCGGTGATAAGCGGTGCGTTTAGAAAATTCTTGAATATTTTTAAACACCTTTCTTAATTTTCTATCATCAATTTTGAGATACCCAGTATCTCATCTATTGACTTAAGAGAAACTTGCTTTTGATTTATTTGTTGGGAAGACATATATAAATTGGTAGAAAACATATCCAAAAATGGGTAATGTGGTTAATATACATTTAAATAAAGTATCATATAATTTTCAGTATTTGTCATGTTTGGATCAAAAATAAAGTAATAATTCAAACTCTAAATATATATGTTTTAAAATAAAAGCAAATATTCCTAATTCTAATCTTAAAACTATTGTATATTACTACATGCTCAATAAAATCTGTCCAATTTCCATTAGATAAAGTCTCAATAAATCTTTCTGTAATTTAGTAATAAAATAAAATAAGCCTCTAGTGTTTTATCAAAAACAGTTTAATAAAGTTTTACCTACTCAACATCTAGAGCTTATTTTTACACCGAATGGACCTACATCAACCCTGATATTTTTAGGGAAAAATTTTGGAGTTGTTCATTCAAAGGCTCTTTACAAAAAGAAAATCCATCTACTTCATAATCGGAAATAAACCAGAGCTAAAACTTTCAAGGAGGTAGGGCAATCAGGACAAAGATTATAATGCATCAAGAATTCTTAACACCCTCATAGGTGAAAAGACAAGCCCTCTAATGCACTACCTACTGTGAAAGTTTTTTCAGTAGTTCTCACGATATTTTGTTACGCCACCAAGAAAAAAGAACAAGTGGCGACTCAAAATCTGTGAACTTGAAAACTGGCGCGAAAAGGGTGAAATAAAGAAAAAAGAATGAAAAAGGTCCAAATAAGGTATTGTAAGCTGGCTGCGTGTTACAGTCGTGGTTGTTGGGGTTGACGTTCTTCGATTTCAAAAGTCCGAACTTCATTAAAAGTGCGCAAGCCATCACAGAGTAGCCGTAGTAGAAAAGGAAGCTCGGTACAACAGATTTAGGCAAATTCTTCTCTATATCGTCTACGGCAAAGTTGTTGTTAAAGTGTAGTAGAAATGAATGAAGTAAAAGGTGAGGAATCTGATTGTGAGATGATTTACGAGGAGTAGGTAGAGTGGAAAAGAAATGTTGAGGAAAAATTCTGGAAGGTAAAGGATTGGAAGAAAGGAGATGGGAAAGGGTACGGTTAGCTGTGCACTCACACAGCTCGCCCGGACACCCTCAGCTTGGAAAACGACAGAAGAACGCGTACACGAGATCGTAGTTCTTGATACTGCATTGCTGAACATCTCGTCTTTGCCAGTCGGCCAGTTGGTTGAGGAAGAGTAGCTCCTTCGATGTGTCCTTTGTTGGTGACAACTAAAACGATAAAACAAGTATTAGACACTTCTTTTACTAATACTACTATTATCCGCATAAACCTTTTGACATAAACATTATTTAGGTCAAACCAGCAACAAGTATATGTTCTCAAAAAACTTAATAGTGTATAAATTTTTATTAAAATCAGCTAAGTACTTTCAGCATGTCACATGCCATCTTCAGTGCTTCATCTTATAGGAGCTTATAAATACCTCATGGAAGAGTTATTGTCAACACAAAACACAATAAAAAACATTAAATGGCCAATGCCTCTGTTGTAGGGGTGAAACCTCGAAAAGTTCTAAAAATCACATTTAAAAAGTACTTGGTAACTGCCCCGTTGAAGCGAAGCTGTTTCCCTCCTTTCAATAAAGCAGCCATTGGTATACCAAGAACTTGTTAAATGTGATTTTTAGAACTTTTTAAAGAGGTTTTACCCCTATGACAGAGACATTAGCCTTTTAATGTTTTTTTTATTATGTTTTGTGTTGACAATAACTCTTCCATGAGCTATTTATAAGTTATTATCAGTTGTCCGTTTGACCTATATTTTAAAAGTGTTCACAGGGTGTCCCAAAATGTTATGTTTTGCAGGATATATCAAAAACGAGAGAAGGTATGTTTCCATGATTAGTAACGGTTTGCAATTGACACTGCAATTCTTCTTCTTCAAGTGCCCTGTCCGTTGCGAACGTTGGCTATTAACATGGCAATTCTGATCTTGTTTGCAACGCTTCTGATTAGTTCGACCGATGTGAGCTACCACTTCTGCAGATTTTGGAGCCACGAGTGTCTTCTGCTGCCTGGCCCCCGCTTACTGCAATACTGCTTACTTACACTGCAATTGCAAACCGTTAATGATCATGAAAAGCGGATGCCAAGATTCGGCAGAAGAGGAGAAACATATTTATACCAGGGGCCTCTCAGGTCGTAAACATGCGAAAACCTCATGAAAAAATCAAAAAAATAAAGAAATCCAATTTTAGAATGTGCACATGGAATGTTAGACGTTTGTTTGCGGCTGGGAAACTTGACAACGCAATTCAAGAAATGAAAAGAATGAAAAGTAGACCTACTGGGAATCAGCGAAATGATATGGCCAGAGTCAGGATCATATAAAAAGGACCGAAGTGTATTATATTATTCCGGTAACAGCACAGAAGAACCGAATCACAAAAATGGTGTAGGTATATTAGTAACATCAGAACTGAGTAAATATGTGACCAATTTCGTATCAGTCTCTGATAAATATTACTCCAAAAAAATGCTCAATCATTTAAAACTAACATACTTCAAATATATGCCGCGACTGCAGATAGAAAATATGACGATGAAGTCGAGAGCGATCAGATCCAAGACATCTTACAGAAAACTAATAAACACGAAATTTTATATATTATAGACGACTTCAATACAAAAATTGGGGAAGGTCGACGAGGTCAGACTCTAGGTCTTTATGGTCTAGGACAACCTAACGATCGAGGACAGAGATTCTATGAAGTTTGTAAAAAAAACGACATGATCACTGCAAACACATGGTATAAACTACCCAAGCGACGACTATACACTTGGAAAGCCCCATTTGATGATGGTAATAAACCTGAGTTCTCAAGAAATCAAATAGACTATATAATTGTAAACGAGCGTTTCCGAAATGTCGTCAAAAAAAATCACTACATTTCCTAGGGCAGATATTGGATCTGATAAACATAAAACATAACATATATACATATATATATATATATATATATATATATATATTATATATATATATTATATATATATATATTACAGGATCCAATTTGTAAATAGAATACATCTTGGAGACGGCTATCGCCGTATTCCCGTCCTCCTCCGCCAATCCTCTCGGTCCAAGGCATGCTCCTCCTCCAAACCTCTCGATTCCATTGCTCTTCTAATACCTTCATTCCATGAGCGTCGAGGTCTACCTCTTTTTCTTCTACCAGGGGGCTTCCATCTGTGAAGTTTTTGGGGCCAACGTTCGTCAGGCATTCTTAACAGGTGTCCAAACCATTTTAAACCTCTTCTTTCTATTCTGTCTATGACCGTATCTGTAGCATTCATCTGATTTCTTATAGATTCGTTGGTTTTCCTTTCCAGCCTTGATGTTCTAGCACTTCTTCTCAAATAATCCATTTCAACTGCCAACAATCTTCTTTTCAGGTCTGCATTAATTGTCCATACTTCAGAGCCATAACAAAGAACTGATTCAACCATCGTTTGCCCTATTCTTTTTTTGTTCCTTTTGGAAATGTTGCGATCCCACCATAAGGAGTTCAAACATCCTACAATTTTACGTCCCTGATTAATTCGGTGTTTAATTTCGGTTTCACCCAAGCCGTTCTTATCAATGAATGCACCTAAATATTTAAATTTTTCCACTTGTGTGATTTCCACGTCCTCGTCTATCAACACTTCAAACCTTGCATCTGAATTGATAACTAGATATTCCGTTTTCTTCATGCTGACTTTTAACCCCCATTTTACATATTCTCTGTATAGACGCTTTATCATAAATTCTAGATCATAAGAATCTTGAGCTAGAACGACTTGGTCATCCGCAAAGTTCAGGGAGAACAGTACGTCATTTCCTATTGGGATTCCCATTCCCTGGCAGTGGTTTTTCCAATTTTGAAGGGCTGCCTCAATATATAAATTAAACAGTAAAGGTGACATACTGCATCCTTGTCTCAGTCCTTTAGTTACTTTTATCGGCTCTGATAGTCTATTTCCGATTTTTAGGTAAGTGGTGTTATCCCTGTATACTTCTGTGATTATTCCTAAAAGGTGTGGACTAATGCCGAGTTGTTGTAAAGCTTGCCACAATTTAGGCCTTGGTACTGTATCATACGCTTTTTCTAGATCGATGAAGGCTAGATGTACTTCGTTACCAACCGCAATTCTTTTTTCTATTAATTGTTGGAGTATAAACAAGTTATCAGTGCAAGATCTACCAGGCGTAAATCCGCTTTGGTCTTCGCTAATTAGATGTCCTACATCATCTTGTATTTTTCTATTTATTATCTTTCCAAACAATCTGCCGAAAGTAGGTAGGACACTCAATCCTCTGTAGCAGTTAGGATCTTTTCGATTACCCTTTTTAAAGATGGACACTTGGTGAGCGGTTTTCCATTCAGATGGTATTTTAATTTGTTGGCAGCATTGATTCATTAGAAAAGTTATTCGTTCGATTAGGAGTGGACCTCCTGCTTTAAGTAACTCTACAGCTATATTGCCAGGTCCTAAGATCGCCCGTTTTTCATTTAAAAATCATATCTAAAACATAACATTAAAACAGAATTTAACAATAGAATAAAAACATCGGAGAACAACTAGAAGATCCAGAAGAACTATGGAGTGAATTTCAAAACCAAGTTAACGAAATCTCCACAAACAATTATAGAAAAAACTTAATACAAGAAAAATAAATGGATGACAGACGACATCTTGAAATTAATGGAACAACGTCGACAGATAAAATCTAATGAAACAGAATATAGACACCTGCAGAGAAGAATAAAAAAGGAGATCAAATTAGCCAAAGCAAAATGGATGAGAGAAAAGTGCGAAAGTACGATGAAATGGAGGATGTAATATCTAAACACGATTTATTTAATGTACACAAAAAAACTAAAAGAAATGACTTACATATTTAAATAACGAGTTTCCTCTGTACTCGTTGACAATAATAACAAATATTAATTGTAAATGAGCACGAAATAAGAATGGCTAGCTGTATATATCGAGTGGTTTGAAGATAACAGGAATAATTCAAACATATATAACAAACATTCAAACATATACATAACAGCCGAATTCCACCAAAACTGTACTGACGGCCCAGAAATTATGATTCCCACAGATTGGCTTATGGATTATGAATGATTCCACAGATTGGCTCAAATCCATCTTTGTCGCAATACCTAAAAAACACAATGCGAGAAAATGCTCAGAATATCAATTAATTAGCCTAATGAGCCACACTCTTAAAATTTTCCTAAGAATACTTCACAACAGAATTAGACGCAAATGTGAAGAAGATCTCGAAGATACCCAATTTGGTTTTAGAAATGCTATGGGAACCAGGGAGACACTTTTTGCGCTTAACATCCTATTACAAAAATGCCGTGAAGCAAAGAAAAGATGTATTTGCATGTTTCGTGGACTTCGAAAAGACATTTGATAAAGTACAGCATGTAAAATTAATCCAAATACTGAAAAATATCGAAATAGATGACAAGGATATTCGTGTCATTAAAAATTTGTACTGGAGTCAAACTGCTATCGTAAAAATTGGAGATAACTACACCGATGAAATCTCCATACAAGGTTGCATTTTGTCGCCAACATTATACAATGTTTACTCGGACCAGTTATTTAAAAAGGCACTTGAGAGACAACCATATGGAATAAAAATCAACGGGGAACTTAATGTGATTAGATATGCTGACGACACAGTAATTCTGTCAGATAATATTTAAGGTCTCCAAATTCTGCTTGATCATATTCACGAGGTAGGAGAGGAAATGGGCATTAAAATAGACTCAAACAAAACTAAATTTTTAGTGTTTAGTCGTGATCCACATCCCGGTGCAAAGCTTCAATTGAACGGAGTCCAAGTGGAGAAAGTTCACAAAATGACATATTTGGGAACTGTGATAACGGACCAACTAGATCCAGACATAGAAACAAAACGTAGAATATCAATGACTAAAACTACTTTTATGAAAATGAAGTAATTTCTTTGCAATAATCATCTTAGTTTAGAACTAAGACAAAGAATGGTTAAGTGCTATGTTTGGTCCGTACTTTTGTATAGTGCAGAAGTATGGTCGCTAAAAGTATCGATCATTAACAAAATTGAAGCATTAAGGAGCGTCAACAAAGATAGAGAACTGCTAAACTGCGCCACTGAACCCTTCCATAATATATCTATCAAAAGTTCCAATAAAGTTCTTTAAAATTTTACTTAGTAAAGAAGATATAATTATAACCTTGTCATTTTTGACATGTTTCAATGATCGCCCTGTATCTCGCTAACGAGGGGAGCTATTGATGATTTGATTGAGCAATCGTTGCTCTAACGAAAAAATAAATTCATGACATCTTAACTACTTTTTTTCTATTTCCTATAGTTTTGGGTTCGCCTGCAAAACATACCAATTTGGGACACCCTGTACAAGTCATACAGTCTTTTTCCAATTTAAACATTTTTTGGTTATTTTAAGATCAAATAGATGTAAATAAACTCACTAAATACTTTTTTATTCTCGAAAAATTATCAGTTCATTTTTATGACAATAATTAAAAAAGTGTGCATTGTCGAGTGTGGATTAAAGAGAGGCCCATTTCGCCTCTTCAGCATGGAAAGGAGGTCAAGGAGGGCAAAAAACTTAAAATCATTAAACCGATAACCCTAAAGTACGTGGTAAAATTAACTGATTAAACTTTTTAAATTAGCATAGGAAGTTAGTACGTTTAACACGAGTAATATCATTAAAATTTTGTTTTAATTCAAACTGAGATTATTAATAATTATATGACCTTAGATTTATCTTTTTTATATTCTTCACCATCATTTTTATTACTAAAGAGTAGACAAAAAGCTGGGGTCAGGCTTATCACACTTTATGTCTAGAAAATTGATTGTATGAGATTAATGATCAAATAAAGAATCAAAATAACACTTCTTTCTCTACCTTATCTACATAAAATAGTTAAGTTGATATACATCCAGTTCTTATATATCTTATATACGTCATTAATCTTGCGTCAGTAATACCTGACCAGAAACAGTACATATAGGCCAGTAAACAAAAACAAACAGCTAAAAAAATCTGATACAGGTTTTTAATGTTTCTAAAAGGTATATGAGGGATAACTGATTACAAATCCTTGAAGACGCACAGCTGAATTTGCTTTGTTTTTTTTTTAAGAATTATACTGCCTTCCTTCGCTCAACCGTTTCCATCTTTGTTCCATTCTCCATCGTTTAGGCCTCTCTTACTCATGACGTCGTTTACTTCGTTCTTTCAGGATCTTCGGGGTCGTCCTCTTTTCCTCCTTCCTACGGGGCTCCATTCGGTTATTCTCTTTATCCATCTCCTGTCGCTAGTTCTTCATACATGTCCATACCACTTTAGTTTTTTTTTGCGTATAGTAACTCGATATTGTGTACCGTTTTCGGAATATTTTGATTTGAAAATTATGGGGTATCGTGTTTTACCAAGAGCACCTTTTTCGTGTAAAATTGAATGATGTTTAAGTTTAATTGAAATTTTGATTAATAATTATACTCTTAAAAAAGTTATATTGACTAATACTTAGTACGATCCGTGTAACTAGCGCCCTCTATGAGAATCAGATATAAAAACAAATTCATGGGATGTATCAGCTTCCAAAACATATTCGTATAAAATTTCATTACAATGTTGCCAGTAGCTTCGGCAAAATCGTAAAAAATGCTTAACATTCTTTTTTCTTCAACTCCTTGTATCTTGAAAACGGATGGCGTTACAAAAATTTTTACTAATCAAACCCCAATTATTTTTCAGTTTTTTACCTACCCTAGAGACGGGGTTACCTTTTTTTGAAACACCCTGTATATCTTTTTAGACAAAAAAGCAAACTTTTAACAAAGAAACAAAAAAAAATTGGCAGGGAATAAGTTAATATTCCAGATCTACTTGATAGGGAGGATAAGTCAATTATTACTGAATATTTTCTGCAAAAATCCGAATGCCACCTCTCAAATCCACCTCAAAACAGATCCGCCCTGGGCTAATTATCGTATACTAAAAGAAATATTTCATTAACGATTCCACCTAGATATCGGAAGCAGTTTTTTGATAGTCGAAGCATTAATAAACAATATATTTCACAATTTTGGTGGTATTTTTCCTTCGTTTGAATGTATTTCCAAAAATTTCTTAAAATAAAATCTGTTATCAAAAAATGTATAATTTAGATTAATTCAACTTTATTGGTGATAAATATAGAATATATCAAAATTGAGCAATGCCTCCATAAATGTCAATGTGTCAGATAACTCATCTAAATAAACAATTAACCATATCATTGTCAAATATTAGTTATTTAAAGGGAAGGCACATGGAAAAATAAGGAGAGGTAGTCAAAATATTTTTGTTTTGGAATAAGACACAATTTTGATTTACAAAATTACTAAGAGCAGAGAGGCATTATTTTCTTTTAATATCTAATAGCGATCTCTAGATTTAAACCAAATAATTTTTGTCTGATTTTTCGATTAAGTTGTTTAACGCAGTAAATGATAAACCAATTATGAAGTTACTGAAAAATAAAAAGATTGACAGTAAACAAGAAATATATCAGTAATAAACAATCTTTAATACGGACAAAACATTCATCATCATCATTAGCCGTTTTGCGTCTACTGCTGAACATAGGCGTCCCGTAAATAATTCCATTACAAAACATTACATTGAACACAAAGTGAGATACCAGACCAGCTGTGTGTTGTAGACAACATTGTCAACTTCCTGGAACTAGGAAGAAATAAGAAAGTAGTACTTTCACAGTACACACTCACTGCTATTTATGAAGCTTACAAGAAGATATACCCAGATAATTTTATTAATAGTAAAATATACGAAAACATATTTTACAGCTTAAACATCAGTATAAAGAAACCTAAGAAAGACACTATACGGTGAAATTCTACATAATAAAAACTCAGTTCTTAACAGATGGGCACAACTTTTCAGCGAACATCAAAATATACACGTTATTGAAGGAGGTTACAACATAGAAAACCAATAAAATCTACAACGTCAACTACACAGTGAAGACCCAACAAGAGACGAAGTGTCAAATGCCATCCTAAAACTCAAAGACAATAAAGCCCCAGGAATCGATGAAATCTGTTCGAAAATGTATAAAAAAGTTGAGTGGTCTAAGAGAATATTATATGTCCGTTGCATAAAAAGGGTGACAAACTGCTGGATTTGTGACCAATCCAGCATCCAAGATGTGATTGTGTTCCGGAGACTCCGGAATTATATGATTTTCCAACAGGTGGCCTTGACGACAGCAGTGGGCTTAAGAAAGCGCAGTTACCACAATTACCTCAATGTATATTATCTATGTCCACCTGAAAGATTTACGTACTGTATGTCATAGTTGGTTAAAGTTAAAAAATAATAAATAAAAAGTATGAAGTAGAAAAAGTACTTACTTGATTTGAGAAAACGGTGACAGTAAACTTCCCTGGATTGAAAGTTTCGAGGACTTTACTGATTATTTCCTTATAGGAGCTGGAAGGAACGTTTGTCTCAAAACTAACATAAGAAAAATCAGGTTCCGGAGTAATATGGATGGTCATGTAGCAACCCTAATGGATAAAAAGAATAATATTATTTATAAATGCCAAACATTCGTATTTTACCATTGTACGCGTTTTAAATATATATCTTTATGCAAATTCGTATAGCTATTAGCAGAAAACTAAAATCATTTTGAAACTGATATTTTTATTTAATGTTTAATAGTCAGTTTCATAAAGCATTCTTTATGTATATCATTAACTGTAGATTTGTTGATTAAACATGACAGTAAATAATAAAGCTCCGGGCTTAGATGGAATCTCAAATATCGCTTTAAAAGCGGTCATCAAAGAATCACGGGAAATGTTCCTGGAGGTTTACGATACATGCCTCAAGAAGGGTATTTTCCCACACATATGAAAGTAACAAAGATTAGTGCTTCTCCCAAAAGGGAAAAAACCAATAGAGGAACCATCATCTTATCGCCGCTTTGTATGCTGGATACAGCTGGCAAGATAGAACGAATAGTCCATCAAAAAATCCATCGTCCGTTCAAATAGAGTATCAGCAGTTAAACCGCTGCTCAACAGCAATCAGTATGGTTTTCGAAAAATGCACTTAACACTAGATGCCATTAACCTTGTCGTTAACACAGCTAAGATGGCGATCGCAGGGACCAAATGGAAGAGGGGTACGAAGAAATACTGTCTGGTGGCCACATTGGACTGGACTTGTCCAGTGAGAGTAACGGCATATCTAAGGAGGATAGTGACTAGCTACTTCACTGATCGATTGAAATAAGGGTGTATTGATTGTTGATAGAGAGCTTATAGATGACAGATTTGCTGACAATCCGAGGAGTTGTAGTTAATGAAGAAAGAAAAAAGGTCCCGAGACTACTAAAACTGTCTCGCGTCTATTTTGATATAATTATAAATCAAAATTTTGAACTATGAAAAACAATACTCTAATGTGCTGAGTTTAATTTTCTGCATGCCATAGAATATGTATTAAATTAGTCATAAAGGCCAAACATAATCGCAAAATAAACAGTTAGTTCTATAAAACAATCAAGAAATTATACAGTTGATTTGAAAAAATTGTAGAATAGGCAGCTGGTGCATTCAATTAAGCAGTGTTGCTTAAAGCACAAGTGAATATCAGGAAAGTAAGCGCAATCAAGTAAAGTATATATCTATCTATCTATCAAGCATCCAAACTCCGCTTGTACCGTACCTAATTGGCTGGCACCCAAACCTAGACTGGTCTTATTCCCACCCCGCGGGGTGAAGATTGTTCCTCTTAACCTTAAATAGCTTGATCGGGGCGCTTTACACTTCAATATGCACGTAAATCTTGATTGAAAACTCCCGACATTATTTTAAAGCCCATGCGAGACTGACTGAGAATAGCGAAATAAGAGAAAGACAGTAGCTATCTTGGCAGAGGCATCTGGTTGTACAAACAAACACTTATGCTTATTCTCGTTCCAAACTTTTGAGACGCAATTCTTAAGCGTTTCTCTTGCGAATATTTGTAATTGTAAGATGTAAATTTAATCTTTATACAGAGTGGAAGAAAAAATGCTACATAATCTTCTGGTCGACAGATTTTATATAATAAAGTGTTTTTAATGATTAGTTGTTTCTAACAAAACTGTACCATTATATCTCCTCGTTAACTCCATTGTCCCAGTCCAAAATGTCCTAGATCATCTATTCTCTTGGCTTTATATTCTTGGTAACATTTCGCAATTTTTCGTAAAAGTATTCGACTTCTGTGTTTAGTATATCTGCCGTAGGAGCATATACGTACTTTTCCATCCTATACTTCTCTTGTCCTGGATTTTCTCTTGTATATTTAATTGAAGTGTGTTGTATCTTTCATTACGCATAACATGCCCCAGGTATTGTAGCTTTCGTGTCTTAATGATTTTCAATATTTCCATTCTTTTGTTGACTCTTCTCATGACTTCGTTGTTTGTTACATGCTCGATCCATGATATCTTCAGGATTCTTCTATACACTCACAGTTCAAATGCTTCCAACTTTTTGGTAGTCAACGCGTTAAGTGTCCACACTTCTATCCCGTAAAGTACAGTCGAGAAAATGTAACACCTTGCCAGCCTAACTCTCATGTCTAATTTCAGTTCTCTTGCACAAAGTACCTTTCTCATTTTATTGAAGTTTGTTCGTGCTTTCTCCTATTCGAACTTTGATTCCATATAATATTCATAATCCATACTCAACTATCTTGTTCATTAGCTTTTGGAGGTCTTGGAGGTTGTCTGCTATTATGATAGTGTCGTTCGCATTTCTAATGTCGGTAATTGTTGTTTCATTGACCTTTATTCCTGCTATTTCTCCCTCAAGAGCTCTTTTTATAATTTCTTCAGAGTATGCATTGATAGAAGTGGTGACAATATACACCCTGTCGCACTCCTCTTTTAATTTCGAACTCTTCTGATGTGTTTTTATTAATGCGTATGAGTGCCTGCTGTTTATAATATAGATTTGTTATAATTCGAAGGTCATTGTATTGTAATTGTTTTGCTTTGAGGATGTCCATTAGCTCTTTGTGGCGGACTTTATCGAAAGCCTTGTTGTAATCTATGAAACAGACGTGCATATCTTGGTTTACATCCAAGCATCTCTGGATTAGTACGTTGAATGCAAAGAGAGCTTCACGGGTACCTAGGCTTTACGGAATCCAAATTGGGTTTCTTCAATATTCATATCAAGTATTTGGTAAATGCGTTTATGGATGATCTTTAAAAACATTTTAAGTGTGTGAGACATAAGGCTTATGGTGCGGGTGGTGCATTCTCTAGCATTTTTCTTTTTTGGAGACGAATAAATGTTGAGGTCAACCATTCATTGGGTATGTCACCCGACTGATAAATTTCATTAAAGAACTTTAAGAGGACATCCATGTACTCGTTTTCTATTACTTTAAGGATATCAATAGGTAGTTGATCTGGCCCCGGGCTTTTTCCGTTTCTGGTGTTCTTTAGTGCATACAAGATTTCTTCCTTTGTAATTTCTATACTTGTTACTCTGTCCTCAAAAGATATGTCTTGTAGGTTTCCTCTTTCGTCGTCGAAGAGCTCTTCCATATATTCTTTCCATCGTTTTAGCTTTTCGTCAGTCGTTATCATAGTATTTCCATTTTTATCTAAAAGAGTTGTGTTGTGGTTTCTTTTTTGCAGCCCTTCCATTTCTTTAACCTTTTTATGTAGGTTGAATAGGTCGTATTTGTTCTGAAGATCTTCTATCTCTTTACATTTTTCCTCATGGTAAGTTTGTTTTGCCTCTCTTATCATTTTTCTGATTTCATTGTTAATGATTTTGTAATTGTGACTGTCTTTGTTCTTGGCTTGTCTTCTTTGGTCCATCCTGCTGAATATTTCGTCGGTCATCCAGTTGTCTCTCTTTCCTATCGGTTCTTTTAATATCTCTTTGCATTGAACGAGGAGGCAGTTTTTTAATGTTTCCCATTGTTGGTTTATCTCGTAGGTGTTAGTATCTAATTTATCAAAGTTTTCGTATATTTTCTGCCGGAGTTTGTTTTTTATGTCAGCTTCTTTCAGTTTTATAACATCTAATTTTGGAGTTTTTGGGTTTTCTAACGTTTAAGCTTAAGCTTGACATTAGCGATTAGTGGGTTATGGTCTGATGTGATATCTGCTTCTTGATATGTTTTAACTGTTTTAATCGATTTGGTTTCTTACCACTTTTTCCGGTTTATCTGCTGGTGAGCGCCATGTATATAACTGTCTCATAGGTAATTTAAAGAACGTGTTTGTGTTATTAGACTTTGTTCTTGGCAGAATTGTATTAGACGATCTCCTCTATCGTTACGTTCCCCTAGTCCTTGATCTCCATTATTGTTTAGCTCTTGCCGACTTTGCATTGAAATCGCCCATACTACCGTGATTTCCCTGTCATTTTCAGTGCATCTTTAATTTGTTGGTAGAATGTTTCTACTGCATCTTCTGTTGCATCCGTCGTTGGCGCATATACTTGGATCAAATTATAATATATAAATACTAGAATTATATTTATATAAATCGGCTTGCTTTCTATCTGTAATACAATTGTTCTCTCCGATATAGATATTACGTTTTTAATGTACTTCGTTAGGGAGCTTTTTATAAGGATATCTATTCCAGTGTTCTCCAGTTCTCCCACAGCAAATAGTGTAAGTGTAGTCGCTCCGGGGGATTCTTCGCACCCTCTGATGCTCGTTTTGCTCGGTACTGAGAGCTATTTGTTTCAAGTTTTCCTGTCATAGTGAAATTAAGGTAGAAGGTAGACATCTATCAACAGAGAAGTTTGTGCAAATATACAACAGACGACAAACTATAAAAAGTCATATTATAATTATTAGTCTGTCTATTCATAATACATGCACTAGAAATTATTAAAATAAAAATAGCAAGTAGCGACTAAAATATTGATATAAAACTAATATTTGCGTATATTATTTATACGTAAACAATACATAATTGATCAAGCTTAGTCTTAACCAAAATTACATGAGCCCTGGACTACAATTACGGGAATAGTAAGCAGTTTACCTCCCTAGGTACTACCGTAACTATTTGAAAAGGTAAAAATGATTAGAACATTCGTTTAAGGCTTACGGGGTATGTTACTTACGTCTTCAAGTTCTGAACATATCTGCACGCATGAAAAATAATATAAATATATAAATATACCATTGGTCTGTACGTAAGAGCCTGTACTACAAAGTCAAGGTGAGATGAACTATATACTATACTATTAGTAAAACTGAAAAATTAACTTACATTTTTAGTAACACCGTTCATGGAGTATCCGCAAGGATTGAAGAGGAAATCATCAATTATCATATTGGGAATTATCTTGTCAATCCCCGCTTTCTGAAAATAATAGATTAACAATTACTATAAAATACTTTTCATTTTGTTCTTGTTAGTCAAACCAAATTGACTTTGTCCTTGTTAGTCAAAGATTCCGCAACTCTATACTCTCAGCTAAAACCTACCCAGGAGCAGATATAGGCTCGGATCACAATCCTGTAGTAGTCACATTAAGAATAAAACTAAAGATCATTAAAAAACACATACAGAAACAAATTGACGTGAGAAGACTGAATGAACAACATATAAAAGAGAAAACAATAGTGAACATCAAAGAAAATTTACAAAATATAGAGAAACTGAATAGAAATACTGATAACATAGACCAAAAATGGGAGAATATTAAACATGCCGTAATGTTGGCAGGGAGAGAAAATTTAACACCGAAAGAAAGGAAACATAAAGAATGGATGAATGAGGAAATACTACAGTTGATGCGTGAAAGAAGGGTACACAAAACAAATAATCCGATAAGATACAAAGAAACAGATAAACTGATAAAAAAGAAAATAAGAGAAGCTAGAGAAAGATGGCTAAGTGAGCAATGCCAGGAGTTGGAACAATTGGAGCGAAAATATGACTTTTTTAATGTACACAAAAAGATTAAAGAAATGACAGGAAGGAGAAGAACAACACAGACAGGACAGATCAAAGATACAGATGGTATAATTATAACAGATTTACAACAAAAAATGAACCGATGGACAGAATACATATCACAACTGTTTGATGACAAAGATAGACAAGAAATCTCAAACGAATATACAGATGATACAGGGCCTGATATAATCAGAGAAGAAATAGAATATGCAATCAAACAAGCAAAAAGTGGTAAGGCCCCCGGTCCTGATGAAATTCCCGTAGAACTGCTCAAACTTATGGACGATGAATCTATTAAAATACTCCTAGATCTATTTAACACAATATATAGAACTGGAATAATACCTAGGGAATGGCTCCGTTCGACCTTTATACTACTGCCAAAAAAGGCAAATACAAAGGAATGCAACGAATATCGTACGATAGCTTTGATGAGTCATGCTCTAAAACTGTTCTTAAAAATAATCCATAATAGGATCTATAGGAAATTAGACGTAGACATCAGTAACACTCAGATGGGATTCAGAAAAGGGCTGGGTACAAGGGAGGCTCTGTTTGCAATGAACGTTCTCTCACAGAGATGCTTAGACATGAACCAAGAAATTTACGCCTGCTTTATTGATTTCGAAAAGGCCTTTGACAAAGTACAACATGAACCACTAAGACAAGTTCTAATAAAGAAAAATATAGACAGCCGAGATATTCGAATTATATGCAATCTATATTGGAATCAAACAGCAAATGTCAAGGTTGAGGGCAGACTAACAGAAGAAATTCAAATCCGTCGAGGAGTCCGGCAGGGATGTATCTTATCGCCACTTTTATTTAATCTGTATAGTGAAGCTATCTGTGAACAAGCACTCGAGGAAGAAGATCTTGGTCTGATAATAAATGGTGAGACGATCAACAATATAAGGTATGCTGACGATACAGTTCTCCTAACGGGAACGCTAGTAGAACTACAACATCTCGTTCAAAGTCTCAATATATACTGTAACAGTTACGGCTTGAAAATTAATTTGAAAAAAACTAAATTTATGGTAATCACGAAATCAAAGAACATCAGAGCTAATCTTGTAATAGACAATACAACGATTGAGCGTGTGCCCTGTTATAAATATCTAGGTGCTTGGATCACAGACGATACTGATCAAACAAAAGAGATTAGATGTAGAATAGAAATCGCTAGATCAGTCTTTAATAGAATGCGCAAACTCTTTTGCAATCGTGATATCAATATAAAGTTACGAATACGAATGCTGCGGTGTTATGTCTTTTCTACCCTGTTATATGGAGTTGAGGCTTGGACACTAAAACAGTTGACCATAAAAAACATCGAAGCTTTCGAGATGTGGTGCTATAGGCGCATTCTCAGAATATCATGGATGGACCGCGTCACTAACACGCAAGTACTCCAAACTTTAGACAAAAGATGCGAAATTCTAAATGAGATAAAAACTAGAAAGATGGAATACTTGGGGCACATTGTGAGAGGTGAAAAGTACGAACTTTTAAGAAACATCATGCAGGGCAAAATTAAGGGCAAAAGAAGTGTGGGAAGAAGAAAAATATCGTGGCTTCGTAATCTACGTGAATGGTTCGGGTGTAGTTCGATTGAACTTTTTAGGCGCGCTGCTAACAAAGTCGCAGTGGCCATGATGATTTCCAATCTCCGCTAGGAGTGGCACGAGAAGAAGACTTTTCATTTGCTACAAACTTTTCAAAGTAATTACAGCAATCGACAATATGGGATAAGAATAATTACCAAAAGAACATTAGAAGATTAATCATTCCTTCTCTTTTAATATTATTCTGAGCCTACGTCAGGATTTAGACACCGTTCAAAACAGACTTCTTAAGTCCTCTTCACAAGCATCTCTTATCTCATTGTCATCATGTTTCCTCTCTTAACACGTTTTAATGACCCAATACTGAACAACTTTTCTAATGGATGACTTTTATTGCTACGTTCAATATGTCCTTGCCATCTTAATCTACATACATCGTTCAGAAGTGGAGTAGTAAACGCAGTCCATGCGTGATTTTTAATAAAATAAAATAAATAAATTTGCGTAGATGATAATAAAGCTATGCTTCTTCCCATCGGTTACTAGCGGAATGCCACATCCCGTTTTTCTTTTCAAATTTAAAATGTAATTAATGGCTTAAAATCACTCTTATCTAATCTAATAAAAGGTAGAATAACTCCTAGCGACATCTTAGGAATGAGAATCTGAACTACCAATTGACATTTCAACTTTTTGAATCTAAATCAATCATATTTGTATTAACGGTTGTTGATTATTGTAATTCACTTTACAAATTGATGATTTGAAGTAATTTTTATTTTCCGTGTTTTTTCATCCTTGCATATGATCTGCATTTCACACATGCTACATACAAAGTACAACGAACTTGCTTCTGCGAGTGGGTTTAACCCTCGTGAATGGGTTTACTCCCGTGATTGGGTTTACTCCCGAATTGAGAATTTATTGAGGAAGGATATGAAGAGAAGAAATTGAAGGGAGGACACGATAAAATAGAAGGGAGTCAGTAAAAATTAGAGGGAAACACGATAAAATAAAAGGAGGTCAGAAAAAACTGAGTGACTGTAGATGGTGATTGATTGGATCTCACTAGTTATATATAAATATAGTCGTGCATCAACCACTAGTCTACGAGGGGATTCTAAAAGAGAAACTCATAGAATTACCAGACGCGCATCTTCTCATCCGTAACTTCTAATTTTGATTCAGAGCTGAACAATCTGCACAAAATGCATTGATTGAAGCAGCAACCTTCATATCACAAGCCCTCAATGAAACAAATAGATACGCCATAGGTATCTTCCTCGATGTCCAAATGGCCTTCAATCGAGTTTGGCCTGATCGAAACTAGACTTACTGGGCTTCCAGACCTTACTGGACTGCGTATCCCTTTGGGGTTGGCTAGTCTAAATTCTCTCTCATAGCGCTCCTTTTTGATATCACCAAAAATTTTGTTCGTCTCCGCCAAAAGCTTCCACAAAAAAAGGGAGCAGCCCCTCCTTGAAGAAGCTTAAGCTTAAACAAGGTTTTAACGTTCAGATTCGAGTACGATCAATCAGAATAAATATAGTCACTTATATACGTAGTTAATTGGTTTGATAAAAGGTCGGTGAACCAGAAATAGTATATTAAATACCTCAAAGTTTCCACAGAAATCGAAAAATACTTCCAGATTGATTATTATTAATTGATTAACCAGTTACAGTTTGATAGAATAATACAAAACAAAATAATTCCATTACAAGAAATAAACACAACTTTGTTGTTTGTACACCGAAAGAGGAACGGAAAAGTTGCAGTTTTCTAGAACTGTTTGCTGAATCGACAGGGCAACGAAAAATGAATCGATCGCCGAAAATCACGGAGGTTTTTTTTGTTAAACAACGACCTCCACTGAATTGTGTTAATCGAAATTGTTATTACAAAGAGAAAAGTATGTGTGCTATTCTTATTAGATGAAGACGAAGAAGATGAGACATTAGTTAATGATGCTAATAAAAAAAAATAAAAGAATTAAGACAAGGTCATGCAAAATAAAGGTAAACTAAAACACATAAAAGATTACAAAGTGTATACAGGGTTGGCCACTCAAAAGAGTCCATAGAAATGCTAAAGCCGGTCGATTTTTGTTATGAATGGGTCATCTTCTAACGATATACAGATTGAACCAAATTAAAACGGAACATACAATTTAATACATGTCTGTTTGAACTGCATTTGAAATAGTGGACCAATATAAAACTTGGACAAAAATAAATCCATACCTGGGTATAGACATTGTATAAAATATCGTTCAACTATCTGTCTCGCAACAAAGTTGTTTGCGTAAGACGGGTTTGTCTAAGGAGGCGATAATAGTTCAGGAAATGAAGTTCCAAAAAAGTTAAAACCTCGCAATTTTTTCGTCCTGCATGTATCCAGTTGAAATTTTAGCAGAAGGTAGGTAATAGCCCAAGGATCAAAATCTATATCGAACCGAAGTGCGCTGAAGGGTTTTAGGGTGAAAACTACCCCTAATTGTCAAAAATTATAAAATAACATATTAAACGTGAATATGGGTAAGATTTGGTTTGAATTAGTTAAATAATGATTATTTTATACTTTTGAATAGAGTTCCATCATATTTCAACCCTTAAAAAGCAACCCTTGTTAGAGATTAATGTAAAAAATTACTAATTCTAAAAAAATGATTTCGCCTTGGATCGATTTGGATAAAAATTTGGATTTAAGCTCAATTCACCCGCTGCTTTATAGTTTATGTCATGTCGACGAACCCTGATTGTTCTTAGGGGTGAAAACTACCCCTAATTGTCAAAAATTATAAAATGACATATTAAACCTGAATATGGGTAA